TGACACCTCAAGTGTGTGGTTTATGTCCAGTCTACTTCGTAATTTTGTTTTCGTCGCCGTTGCGGCAGAAACCCCCCGCCTCACACAGGTAGGATGTCGGAAATAGCAACAGTGCTATTGTGGCGATCTCAGAGTATTCAGCCATAACTTTAATCCAGTTGTCTCGTCGAACGTACTTTGAAGGCCGCCGTCATTTGCGATCGCCAGCAGTTTTTTTAACTCATTTTGCGAGCGCCTGCGTTTTGTTTTGAAGTACTGTAATCGGTCACGTGATGGAGAAGCGTGGCTTGACGTGTGTCAAGCGTGACACAGACGGATGTAATGGAGAATCCGGTAGTTTTTCAAAATAAAACATCTTTCGTATTCCGAAATAAATAAAACGGAATTATGGCAAGTTCTTTCTGTGCGGCCCGGTACCAAATGCCCGGCGGACCGGTACCTGTCCGCGGACCGGCGGTTGTGGACCCCTGCTCTAGCCAACCATAGTGTTTTATTCTCCTGATGTTATGGTCTTATTTGTGTGTACATGCGGAAATGCACACATGCAAGTACGCCCTTTCATGCACTACTAAAATTGCAGAGACCCCAACAAAGCCTTGGTTATAATTTGAACCCTAGTAATAACCCTGAAGAGCACTCAACAGCTCCCGATAAAATGAGGGACGACCGGCGACCTCGACATGTCTGTCGTATTCAATTATTCACTTCTCACTGCCCCGCCATAAGTTCTTCATCAAGGTCCTCTCCAAGTCTACTCAAATGCTCTTACAGATTTTTACAAGCACGAGCCTAATGGAAACTAAGGATGCTCAGAGAGGGAGACATGTGATCATCAACCATAAAAACACGGGTCTTGACTTTTTGTGCTCTGCCAAAAGAAGCTACCACCTTGTGCTGATTTGGATTCTGGAAAAGGGGGCTTGAGTAAAAGTAGGAGCTTCTGGTATTCGCCTACGGAAAGCAAAAATAGGTCAGAGCGTCAAAGTATAAGTGTCTGCAGAGAGGGTACTGGTGTGAGATGAGGTGACAAGTGGATGTGGATTAGGCATATAAACACTCAGGAGAGGGAGAGAGCGAATAAAATAGAGAGGTAGAGAGGGAGAGAGGGAGAGAGACAGAGAGAGAGAGAGAGAGAGAGAGAGAGAGAGAGAGAGAGAGAGAGAGAGAGAGAGAGAAAGAAAATAGAATGTCAGAGACAGAAAGCTCCAACAGCCTTGGCTCGAAGGCTGCATCGTGCTTCAAAGTTTGCACCGTCACCCTCGGGCAGCATCCCTCCATGTGGGTCGTCACGAGATTTGAAGTCTGAGCTTGACGCCACCGAGACTAATTGTGAGCATGCACCCGTGTCGCTCATACAAATACGCGCTCCTTTCCATTGAGCCACATTAGCTACAGTTAGCATGCAGCCAGCTCTGTAGCGAGTTGAGTGTAAGGGGGAAGGGAGAGCCTGTGTCGCAAAACTGAAAAAAATAAAAATATAAACACACACACACACACACACACACACACACACACACACACACACACACACACACACACACACACACACACACACACGTTATGTTTGGTCGCAGCAAGCACACAGACACACACATAAACAAACTGCATTTATCCGATCAAAACATACTCAATACCAGGAGCACACACACAAACAGCAGGCATTCAGAAAACTGCCTTGGTAATAAAACTTGGACTCCCATTCACTCACTGACACACATGCACAGCTCAGACTAGCCCACAGTCGCAGAGAGACCGAGAAACACACCTACCCTCATAATTGACAATGACAATGGCAAGCATGTAGTCTTTCCCCAGCATCATACTGTGGTTTGCCAGCTGCCTTGTACGGCATGAATACCCAGAGCTGTTGCCAAACACACACACACAACCTCAGACAGAGAGGAGATCAGTGCAAGAGAGGGGGTGACGAGGACTGGAGAGGCGAGGGAGGGAGGACACGACGAAAGGGGGGGGGGCGAGAAGCCAACAAGAGAGATGGCAAGAGATGGAGCTGACAAGTATGTTTCAGTTTGCCCAGCGCGCACACACGAACAACCCGAACTCCACTCCAACATCTGTCTTACTCATCCTCATGAAATGTTGATTGCAAAAGTCTTCACCTCACACGGTTGCCCTCGGAACCCTCAGGTCATCTTTCATGCTAATCGAGATTGAGGAGCAGGGATGAAGATTACAATCTGCCTGTTTAAGTCATCGCGGTTTACGAAGGCAGTAAAACCAATCATTCAATTCTCTTGGCAGTGTCGTAGAATGTTTTCAGACCTCTTGTTAAACCATGCACGACTGTGTGTGTGTGTGTGTGTGTGTGTGTGTGTGTGTGTGCGTGTGTGTGTGTGTGTGTGTGTGCGCATGCTTGTGCTTGTGTGTTTTGGTTCCCTAGTGCAAAAGCGCTGTCATACAGCCCCTAGAAGCCGCAACATCCCGGGAGGAATCTGACACACACCTGGGAAAACAACACTGCTTTTTCAACCTCACACACAGCCAGATGGGATGTACGGACAACTGTGTGTGAAATGTCAATAAATTCAAGAAAGATATTCTTCAGAAAACAATGATGAATTTTGAAGAGTACAACACCGTTTCTCCATTGCTTTCAATTCCATCAACTTGACACGTATTGAGCTCATATTTCCATCCATCCATTCATGATGTGAACCATTTACCAAAATGACATTTAAAGAAAAATGTAAAGAAATAAACAGTATCTTACTAAGATTAGCTGTACTAAAAGAATATACAGTGCAAGAAAGAAATGCTTTATAGATTAATTATGGGAAGACAGCATAGTTTTCAACCTGCATTTGAAAACATTCACACTTGGTGTGAGCAAAAAAAGAGATCCTTGACAAAATGGAATCCATTTTTCTAGGTCAGCATAGCGGTAATTTGACTGACATTTGACAGCTGAGCAGGGTCTTTTCTCCTCACAGTGTTTGACAGCAGAGAGAATGGTTTGATTTTTCACCATTTTAAGGACTCATTTCACATACAGTACTTGTTTTTTTTAAACATTCAAATTTTGTGGGGTTGTTGAAAGCAATCTTCTCTCCAGTGTGTCAAAGGAATATTCACCATTCCTTATAGCGTTTTAATGCAGCATATATGTTCCTGTTATAAGCAGTTACTCAACACCCCACGGCGTCACAAAATGTTGTGGTTCACTAGAATGCAAAAGAATCCACCGAGGCACCAGAGGGTAAGATGAGAGGTATTGTGGGGGAAATTAAACAGCACGTTGGCCTCATAACTCAGAAAGTCTGAAAGCTTGGTGTACTGCTGCACTCATGTCACAGGCCACTAACAAATAGATGGATGGGATCGACAACAATAAGAGTCTTTTAAAGGCCCAACTGACATGAGCGGCAAGATTTTTTTCCACAACGCAGACAAACACGAGCGGACGGCAAGAAATCAGCATGTCGCTCATGTGATACAGTCAAAACTTTCAATTACAGTTCCCCTCATTAATTCCATCAATTAAATGGGCACTATGGATGGGCATCCTAATTAGTTAGTCGATAAATTGATCATTAAGAAGGTTATGTGGATTGGGGAAAATTGTACGGTAAAATGGATTTAGCTGAAAGTGGGAGAGGCTCTGTAGATTCAGTTTGCTCGTGTCTAAAACACAACAAACAACATGATATCCGTGACATCTTTATTGTGTTATTGCTGTATTATTGGATCGAACGACATCCAAACAGAACTTCGAAATGGCCTCAGGGCAGCGCTGTATTGTGCTCAAAACAACACAGGCGTGGAGGTCAGAACATTCAGAGAGATTAGAAAATGAACTGAAAATAAATGACAAACTGTAAAAAAAAATAAAAATAATAAAAAAAAGGATTGATTATCAAGACATGGGAAACTTAGTAAACAGCCATCACTTCGGGATTAAGGATTAAATTATCTGATTATCTCTCGAGCAAGGTGAAGCATCTTGATGTGTTATCAATCAAAGGTCAGTCAGGTTCATTATCAGTGGAGGGCTGCTGACTAGCTATCAATCTAACTCGACATAGATCAAGCCTCCTTAATCAACTAGCATTCAAAGTAGAGTTCAATGTCTTGCTTGCTTCCGTTGAAAGAAAAAAAAAAATCCACCATAAAGGAGTTGTCAAGGACCATGGAGCTAATGATCTGACCACTGACCTGAGTCACTGCTGTCATCATGGGTCAGAAATACTTTGCCGCCAATATCAAGAACAATAAATTCCCAAAGGTTTGAAGAAAGTGGAGTGAACTGGCAAAAGAGGTCTACTGATATTCCAGCTGTGGTAAAATCCTTACCAAGATGGGCGATAAAGAGCAACTTTTGAAATGAATTCCGACAAGGCGGATAAAAGAGGTGCACACATAGCCAAATTGCAACTCAAGAATTTGGGCCTCAGCAACTTATTTTATTTTCTTTTTTAAAAAAAAAAAGTAGTTGTATAATTAGACGTTAAGAATTAAGGTAAGTGATTTACTGAGAACCATTCCGGGCCTCTCGCCCAAAGTCAGCTGGTATAGCTCACCTGTGACCTTAATAAAGACAAGCGGTATTAAAAAAAAAAAAAAAAAAAGGATGAATTAAAATATGAGGATTATCAGGATCTAAAATTAGTAATCTCTCAGGAATATAAAACAAAACGTACTGCATGTGGCAATTGAGAAAAAAGGCAACGAGAGATTAAGTTTGCTCCAAATTGAACTCATGACTGGTCTGCATGCAGACATGCACAGGGAGCGGGACGTAGATTGAAACAGTCCGCAGTCTAAATGGTTAAACACCCATGAGGCTATGGAAGAATTTGCTGTCCCAGAGGGATTGTGGGGGATTTCCTGCAGACTGGAGTTTTTATTATTCTGTTTCAGCGATGTCCCAAATTGGGCATATGTGCACAAATAAAGTCCCCATAAACGGATGAACGGCACAGGGATTGTTAAACGAAAGCAAACCTCTAAAGACAAAAGTCTACATCAAAAGATGTGTTTACCTGTCACCTCAGGGGAGTTGCTCTCCTGGGACAAAGTGGTCCAACTCAACTCTTCATCGCTGGGGTTCAAATTCTGGATACGGTTCAGAGCGCAGTCCGTCTTTGCACCGGTCCTTCTGTCTTTCTTAGTCTCTGGAGAGGACGAGGAAGAGGAGGAGCAGGAAGCCACCGAGAGTAGGGGTGTGTCCTCTGGACTTGCCTGTCTGGGTGGGAAAGGTGGAGGGGGCACAGGGGAGTCCTTAGAGTGGAGGTCTGAGATGATCTCCAGAGCGGGCGAGGTATTCAAGGGAAACTCGCTCTTGGTCAACAATAGCGCTTTCTTCTCGTCATCTTGATGCTCCTCCGCCACCTCATCATCCTCAGCCTTCATCAGTGACTTTAGTTCCTTCTCCAAAAGGATGTTGATGTTGTCGCTTTGCTCCGCGTGAATGTTGAAGTCATAAACAATCTCTGCCGAGTTGCCGTTGAGTTTGAGATCGACGGCCGTGTTGACCTTGCAGCAGCTCTCTGATTCTGACCTTTGTTCCGACTCGGGGTCAGAGTTACCGTTTGGGTGCAGCTCGGCAACATCCTCCACATTACCTTCAGGCTCCTCGGGCGTCTTAACACTCAGATCCTCCGTCAGGATTTCTGAATTGCCATCAAGGTCAGTTACCATGAGGTCTGTCGTATTTTTATTGTGATCCTGTCCAGCTTTACGGAGCTGGTTGACTCCGTTCTTGGCCACCTTGGGATTGTTGGGGGTCACCAGTTGTGAAGGTGATGACGAGGGTGATGACGAAGGTGGCACCGCCTCCCCGAGGCCCATGGCAGTCTGGATATTTGTGAGCGCATATTTTTTGCGACACTTGGGCGGTGTGGATGAGCCTTGTGTGATGACATCACTGCTGAGGAGCTGGTTGTGGGAGGAGCGCAGGCTGAGAGACGTTGGAGGTTTGGCAGAGGGGCCATTGCGATTGGTCACGTCTACTGACATCATCGTGGCAGTCAGATGGATCCACTGAAAGAGAAAGGATGCCAAAAGTGAATGCGCTTGAAGAAACAGCCGCCATGGCTGAAACATTTGCTACTTGTGAAATGATACTTTTCACTGGAATATGGATGGAGCTTTACCTTAATTTTACCCATTCAGATCCAATTAGTATTACGACGCAAAGACTTCAGTATTTAATGGTGTTTTCCAATTTAAATTCTAATCTAATCTGGAGCAAAACAACAAAATTTTGGTTTGTCAATGAATCTTTCCCGCATAAATTGAGCAACTTTTCAAATCAAGATTTGTTTTCTTTTTCAATCATCACCGGTCATTTTTATTTGGGGTATTTTACTTTCCATCATTAAAGGGATAAAGGTCATGAAAGAGCGGTGGGAAAATTCTTCAACTCTTGACTTCTCCCGGATGCTGAATGCAAACGTCAACTTCTAAGCGCCTAATCTTGGGTAGAGGGGAACTGACTGTGTGTATTTTTGTAATCTGGTTTCTCTGCATGGTATGTAAAGCAAATACATATCAAATAGAGTGCGAGTTGTGTTTCCCAATCCCCACGGATTATAAAAAGTATAAAAACAACTGAGGGGGGGAAAATATGTTCATTACCCGTGTGCGTGTGAAAGACCCTCTCAATTTCATCCAAACTACATTTCAAAATATAAAGTCTTCTTGCAACTGGAAGATTATCTATTCATTAAAACAATCCATGTTGATCTATTGTGTCAAAAACTCGAGGCAAGAAGTTGCACACTAATAAATAAAATGAATGGAAACATAACCTCGTTGGCAGACGTAATAAATCCAGCGGATACTGCGGGGAATAGTGTCGAAATCTCTTGCACTAGGTGTTGCCGATCAAGTTTAAGGGGTCGCCAAGTTCGTAAACCTGCTGGGACGAGTAATGTGCACCAGTAGGTGTTTTAAAACCCATAAATTGTTGAGACTCTGCAACAAAATAAGCAGTTTGAGGAGTAATGCACAACAAAAGTAACATCCTTCCATAAATACAGCGTGTCTTTTTCTAGAAACTCCAAAGTAGACATAGGGTAACACATTACAGATCAGAGACTGTAATATTGTAATATGAGGTGTGTTAGAAAATTTCCAGGACTAGAACCACACAAGCTATATTTTAAACGCAAACTATGGACTCAAGGTTTTCCCCTTCTAAGTAATCCCCCTGGTATTTAATACACTTCCCAGGTTTACTCTGCCACACCTTTCTGCACTTCTGGAAGGATTCTTCCGGGATCCTCCGCAGCTCAATCATCACAGCCAAGTTGATGTCGTCTTGATGACTTCCTTGAGGTTGGGCAAGATGGACATATCACATGGAGCCATGTCGGACAAGTACGGGGAGGTTGCTCCAGCATGGCAAAGGTCTTCTCGGCCAGGAACTGTCCGATGCTCGGTGCATTACGAGCAGGCTCGCTATCATAATGAAGCAGCCACGAGTGGTCCTGCCAAAACTGTCGTCTCTATGCGTGCACTGAACAAAGTGATCGCTGAAGGATGGCTTTGTAGACTTGCTGATTGATCTTCTGGTCCATAATGATGGGGCAAATTTGTAATTGGTGTTAAAATCATATCTTTTGTGACATCAGTCCTGGAACCTTTCTGACACACCTCATGACTCCAATTACGTTCAGATGCAATAATGCAGCTATCCATTTGCTAATCCGCTTATCCTCTCGAGGGTCGCAGGCGTGCTGGAGCCTATCCTGTCCTCAGGCATTAGGCGGGGTACAACCTTGAACTGGTTGCCAGTCAATCCCAGCTCACACAGACGAAGAATCATTCACGCTCACAACCACACCTTGAGACAATATTAAGAGTGTTTCATTAGACTGCCATGCATGTTTTTGGAATATGGGAGGAAACCGGAGTACCCAGAGAAAACCCACGCAAGGTATGGGGAGAACATGCAAACTCCACACCACCGTGCCGCACTAATAATGCATTTCAGTGTAAAATTCTTAAAAAAAAAAAAAAAAAAGTCATGTTTCATGTGGGGCAGTACAATGGATGAACTGATAAGCACGCCGGCCTTACATTGCAGAGGTGCAGGATTCAATTCCAGCTCCGGCCTTCCTGTGTGGAGCTGGCATGTTCTCCCCATGCCTGTGTGGGGGTTCTACGGGTACTCCCGTTTCCGCCCACATTCCAAAAAACATGCATGGCACGTTAATGGAGCACTCTAAATTGTCCCTAGGTGTGAGTGTGAGCGCGAATGGTTGTTTGTCTGTGTGCACTGCGATTGTCTGCCAACCGGTTGAGGGTGTACCCCGCCTACTGCCCAAAGACAGCTGGGATAGGCTCCAGCATGCACGTGACCCATGTGAGGATAAACAGATTAAGAAATGAATGGATGGATGGATGTTTAATGTGCAGGAAAAGAAAATTAGAATGCACTGAAGAGTTCAATGTGTCAGGAATAATTATAGCAGCAGAGAAATCAAGATTTCTTATTATGTGTCGGTTAGCACTGAATTTCAAGGTTTAAGATTTATTTGCCCAAGATCAAATAGAGAGGAGCGCTCAACCCCAAAGTTCAACTGCTCATCGGGACATTGACTCTTTTTGTATCAGTAACTGTGGATGTACTTTCACCCTACACCCTCGAGCTGAATCGTTATCTGTATGCTTAAACATTGAGCGGTTGGGGTGCAAGCCTGGAGGTCCTCATTTTATTTAAATCCCTAACACAAACATAGCATGCGTGAAACCATGTGTGCCGGTGTATGTCTGTGTGTGCATGCGTGTGCATGTGTGTGCGTCTATCTTTTGTACCTGACAGGAGGTCAGTCATAGAGCATGCGCTGGTTACGGTTCAGGGTTCAGCACACTCAGCTGCATATATGAACAACACCGAGGGGGGGAAGCAAAGAAGGAATGATCAGTAGAAGAATGTGAAAAATGTCAAGTCTCAGGGACCCCTCAGGGACCAAATTCATCAGCAGGCTCCGATGGAGAATGCACAGCTGCTCTTAATACCACATTTAAAAGCGTAGAGGATGAAGTACCAATCAATCTAAGGTGACCTCTTTGCATCACTATTCAGCATATTGTGCACAATAAATTCAGATGTGTGACCGAATGCCAAGTTTCTCCTTTAAAGCAAAACCGTGCATTGTATTGCAGAATAAAAACAGAGGCTGGTATTTACCAAAAAGTAAGGAATCTTTTTATTTGTTTCCTCTAGGGCTAGGCCCTAGAGAGTCTGGGGACATTCCTAACATTGTGTGGTGTAATGGTCATTTGAGCCACTTTGGTAAATACAAATCAATAACTGTAAATGTGCATTTGTGGACATGTTGAGTAAGATTAGTTCATTTGTAATTGTTAGTTACTATTGCCCCTATGTTGATTAATTAAGGAAGGAGGTAGCACATGACTTAGGGACCGGAAGATTGGTTTTAATACTGCTCTGAATCCCAACACATGCAGACATGTGGACCACACTCTTACATACCACGACATGGTTGGATTGAAAATGCTTCCTGAGCACCTCCAAAGTCCCCAAATGTTCAAGCTAACAGCTGCATAACCACTTCTTTGTCCTTTCACTACAATTTGGCAATGTATTGCTGGTGTATTTCTCTGGCACTAACTAAACAATTTTCCTTGCGGGAAGTAATAAAAAGTCATACTTACAAATAAAGAAAAAAAAAGACAAAGTCTTGTGAGCACCGGAATGAAATGATTTTGTATGCTGAATCACTTTTCAATGTCAGTATGTACATATGTAACTAGAGTGTCACTAAGTGGAGTACAGTACTGACCTCCACCAAGGATTAAGGATCGCTGGTTTCAAGTTAATGGAGGACGATGAACTGAAGGGTAGCGCGATTATATTTCTGCACGGTTATGCTACATTCATTGAACATGAATACATTCCTGTATCTATAGCTTTAATACTAAATTGATTGGCTAATTCAAGTTCTCTTTATGCACCATCCCAACGAATGTTCATGAAAATCTGTAATGCATTTCTGTCCAAGCCTGCATTAAGTGTTCTAAAATGACTGCTGTGAAAGAAAAAAAAATTGAAATAAAAGCTGGATAATGGCCTAAAGCTTTTCCAAAGGACTGTATAGGTTTAACAGCAACAAATCTTGTTTACATCTAATCAGCACGAGTCATGAAATAAGCATCATATGGACATTTTAGTCCCTATGTCTCCTCTATTTGCTTCTTCAATGAGGCTGTTGGCTGGAGGAAGGGGCCCAATGTCTCCCAATTGTCTGTTGACGTATACTTAAGATGTTTTTTTTTCAGTGACTGATAGTTCCCAAGTAAATGCTTCAACCGTACATTCAAAACATTCCAACATTTGCTGTACAGTACTTACCAGTGGCTGAGCATTATGCAAAATACAGATGGAGCACATCCATGCCGGTAGTCAGCGTTTCTCTCTTCATCCAATCACGACGACCTAAGCGAGGCAGTGGCGTCCTGAGGGAGGGACAAACATAAAAACGGGATTTATGAGCAAGCGAGAAAGAAGGAGGAAGGAAGTGACTGAAAAAGGAGAGACAGAGAGGACTGCAGGACACCGGAGGGACAAATAAAGATGCATTAATTATTCACAGCCGCGATCAAACATTAATATGCGTGTGTTTGCGTGCGGCTGTGTGAAGGAAAAACAAGGCTCATTTATGTATAAAGCTCAGTGTGTCTTTCTTTGCTGCAGAGCCTTCACTGACTGGAACTATCATAAACTTGATGTCACGGGAGGATTGTGAACTCAGCCCCTCAGCCCCTCCCACCACCACCGCAATGCTTCCTAACAATCAACACAGCATAGTGCAGACTACACTTAACCCGCATTTCTAACAACGCCAACGTACTATTTAAATGGACTATAAAAATCTCCACATAAGAAGCTAGTGTTGATATAAAAAGTGATGGAAGCTAAAAAAATAATAAGTTTGACCCCATCTAAAAGTTATGTGGTATCACACGAAACACAAATTTTACAAATGTTTTCTTGTATAATGCTTCGTTACTGCTTACATATTTTGCCAACTAATTATTGTATTAAATTTAGTCCAACCACAAAAACTAAATGCAGGTTCTCAGCATGAAGACTCAGACAGGGCTAAGACATCTTTTTTTCTTGTCGGCATTTTTTAAAAATCTCTGTCGTGTAATAACAGAGTTCAATTCTTTCTTAACCCATGTGCTGCAGTCGATCTAAATAAGTTTATATAACGCAACATACAATTTTACAAAAATTGTAAAAGTATTATTCCTGAATATTTATTTCAATTTCAACCACTCGACATGTTCAGTGGCATCAGTGCTATACATACACATATAGTTCTTATTTTTTTCTTTGTATTTTTGCCCTCTATGGACAATAAAAGCGGTATTGTGCTATGACCAAAACATAAATATAAATCTATATAAATAAAACATGAATTGGAATATTTCATATCACACACTTTTTATGCTGTGTCTTTGATTTAAAGATGACAATACGCATAAATCTACAAAAATTGTAGAAATTGTAACATATGGGGTAACCCATGTGTTACAAACATCGTAGAAATTGCAGCACAAGGGTTACAAATATCATCATCAACCAACCTGAGGATGGGAGAAAAAAAGCTCTGTTTGATCAAAAGCAGAAACTAGGGAGAGGCATTACCCATTAACTGCACAATAAGAATCCGGTCGATTGTGTGGAGTGATGATTAAATGCCTCTTGGATAAACTGAAAAAAAAAATGGACTGCACTACTTTGTCGCAACCAGTAGCTGTGCTGTTGGTGTAGTCTCTAGTTTGCCGTATAAAGAAGCCCCAACATGATGTCAGCGATGGGCGCTAGGAGTCAGTCGCACTGTCGGGGCACAACTTGCCTCACATTCATATCTAAAGGCAATCTCAACTCTTCAAATAACCGACCATGCATGCTTTTAAAACGTGGGAGGAAGCCAGAGCTCCAAGGGAAAACCCATGAGAGCACAAGGAGAACAAGCAAACTCCACATTAAAGAGACAGAGCCAAGATTCAAACCTCGAACCACATAACCGCTTCGTGATAGGTGAAACTAGGCCACATAGTGCCAGAGTTTCCCCACACCATGAAAAATATCTACTAGATTCATAATCGCCATTGGCAATACTGTATATGACGTATTTCTCATATAAATGCTCCGATACCAAACACTGATACCACATGACCAGCCTGACATCTATTTTCCGGGTAGGAGCCTTGTCACCAGTATGGAGATACGTTAAGTAAATAAGCACAGACAACAACACTTTCAGGCGACGGGCCGGGTAACATGTTGCGGGGTAACGTGTTGAGTAATGACAAGTAAACGAGGATGTATTGTATTGTATTATTGTAGTCTCTTATTGGATAAAGAAACATGCAAGAGCAGTGGAGCAGAAACTCGAGAATGTCATCGCATGTTTGTAACAGTTCTATTTTGTTTTTATAGCCTAGTTCCAAAACTATATTTTCATTCACTGTGACACCCACTGAGCATATGCAGGAAGAATGCATTTGGCTGCATGTCGTTCCAGTATAACAGAGTGTCATGGAATAAACTTTCGCTTTGTTTTTCACATGAAGCCGCAGGCAGAAACCATTTCCCAGCCACAAAGTTTCAAATTACCCAGATGTGGCCATTAAAATAGGAGTTACAAAAGATTGAATGACGAATTTCAAGGGTTATGTAATATTTTTGCACACAAACAACTGGACCGTGCTTCCTATGGTACCGGTCTCTTTGTCAATGGTATTTAGGGCTATTCGATCATCGATTGAAGTATGGGTGAGAAAAGCACATGGTCAAAATTTCTACGGACACAAACAGATGAGGAAAATCTGAGTTTTCAGCGTTCACACGTGAAAAATAAAACTAGAATGCTTCGCTAGTACTTCAAGATATTTTTAACAATAATCTACCGTCAAGTAGCAAAGTCCAAAGCCGGTTATACAGTGAACTCAAAGTATGTTCACTCATGGTCAACTCATTAGGTACATCTGATCTTCATGGATTTGATGAGATCCATCACTGTTCCAACTCTTCAGTTGGAGCTCCGGAGAGTCCACAGCTGTAGCGCGAGCCAATGAGTCTTAGCGCACAAGGGAAACATCATTGAAATATTGGCATTCAAACCAAAATTGCATTCTGGGATTTAAATTACAAGGCACGCGTGGTCTTTTGGATCCTGCTACAACAGGTCTGCATACCATAAGTGTGAGAGAACATACAAGTACAGAATGTTTTTATAGGGGAAGTCTGCACAACAATAAGCATTAAACATTTCCAAGCATATATTGCTCCTAACCCAAGGTTACGGCTCTGATGTGAGACTCCAGCCCTTTATACAAATAAACATGACCAGCAGCAGTGATGTGCTTCCTGTAGCAAGAACCTAAAAGGAGGGAATCAAAACAGTGCACACTTGGCGGACTTTTATAAACAAGATTCATCTGCCAGAACACCAAAGCTGAACGAATATTTTAGTTTCAGAAGAAAAACTACGAAGGCACTGATCAAGTGCAGATCTCTGTTAAGGTTTAACAGTTCTAAGCTTGTGCTTGATTGAAAAATGATAGTGCAGGCCAATAGTGCCCCAGTGCATTCCTGTAAATTCCAGTGATACGCACAGAGCAAGGCGAGCGCCACACACAGCAGACTTTTTTTCACCACAGCGCCATCAGCTGGATGTGGTGAGCGCTGCCCACACTTGGACCCAAATAGATGACAACAAACATTTCAATACATGTCGAGATCCCCCCATTTAAGATCAATCTTCACCTGACCTTGAATAGATATATTTTTTTACACGAGCCACGACACTCTGCTCAGTTTCATATTCATAGTTTTTAACGTAATCCCGTTAACATCCTTACCGTGTCTGCCTAGCGTGTGCGTTTGTGTTGGCCTTGTGAATCTGCACCGTGAGTTTGCTTCCTAGTTGGCTAACATGCAGAGAACCACATTCGGTGCCTTTGGTTTGCTGGTCTCCTCAATCGACGACCTTGTGAACAGTAAACATGACCAACTTAAGCTATCACTCATCGTGATAAACTTTCTGGTTCATGAGGACAATGAGGTGCTTCAAGTGTCTTCAAAGAGCAATGAAATGCTTTACCAAATCCTTAGTCAGCGTGACGTGTTCCATGCTAATAGTGATGGACTGATTCAGGACGCATGGCAATATCTTCAGCTAGCCATTTTACAGTTTCAAAAGCTGTAGTTCCATGTACCATGCAGACATTTAAACTGCTATATGCTTTATGTGACTAATTGGAGTCTTTGCTGCTATGTATAAAAGACACGCAAGTTCAACACTTTAAATTTAAGTCTGAACGTTTGCACTTTGTGGTGAAAGTCCAAATCCAGAGTGCTGAAATGTGAAGTGAAACCGACTAAACACTAACAAATTCCTCTATATTTTCCACATCATGTCTGCAGCTTTTAAAAACAGACCAAAATGAAAAATCCAAAAAGACGTTTCCACAACCGGGTGGAGTGACAGTGGTGCATCAGCAAATCAGCATTTATGCTCTCAAACTGTGGCTTTGAGTCCGCTTTTTAGTAGGCCGTGCTGTGGATAAAGGGGGTCTTGGTGTAATTACAGGGGCCCACTGTGGGCATCCAACCGCTGGCACTCAAACACAAACAAGCGTTTCAAATATGAGGGTGACGCGTAAGCACATGCACGCACGCACACATGCACGCAGACTTCCAAACGGTTAAATGTGCAGGCAAAGCTCAGGCAGCCACATGGGGGAGGAGTGGTAATCAGATCCAGATTGTGTCATCGCAAAGACTGACTTCTGACCCATCCGCCGAGCCTGCAAGTGTCTGTTGTTTGTGCGTGTGCAAATGTCGCACTTAAGTTGGGGGGTCCGGCTCACGCATGAATGAAGGCAACAGCTGCAACATGACCAACCCTGCCCCCCCATTTTCATTTTTTCATGTGTGCAGAGTGTAGCCACTGACATTCACCACACAGTGAAATGAGCTTTTAGATCCAAAGAGCTTGTGGATTGCTACCAGCAGTTTGATCGGCCTCTCATCCATCCTTCCTTCTTTCCTTCCTTCTTTACTTCCTGCCCTTCCCTCTCAAGGTTTCTCGTCATTCCAGTTCTCCCGCTGATCCCAACAGGCTATAAACTCAAACCCTTTGTCCACAACAGAATTGCTTTCCTTTCTCATTAAAAGTGAAGGTCTGTAAACTCTCATAAAACCACCCATTTCTCTCTACAGCCCTAATTTACAGTCTCGCTGCTGCCAGCCCCCCCCCTCGCAAACTCGTGACAAAGCCCATCTGCTACCAAAGAGATGGACAAGAAAGCAAAACTGAGCAGGAAGCAGGCCAGGACATAAACGTCCAAACTGACAAATTTCTGTGTGCAGGCAAAGCACGCAGCTTCCAAAAAAAAAAAAAATGCAGCGGGGTGTTTTTTGAGTTAGGATGTTAACG